TCAGTCAGTCAGACACAGTCAGACAGACAGTCAGTAAATCAGACAGACAGTCAGTCAGTCAGACACAGTCAGACAGACAGTCAGTTAATCAGTCAGACACAGTCAGTCTGTCAGTCAGACAGACAGTCAGTCAGACAGACCGTCAGTCAGACAGTCAGTCTGACAGTCAGACAGACAGACAGTCAGTCAGTCAGACACAGTCAGACAGACAGACAGTCAGTTAATCAGTCAGTCTGTCAGTCAGACGCGCTCCCTGCGTGGCATCCAGAAAATCTCTGGAGGAAAATCTGCTTTTCTTCACTTGGTTACCATGGTAACCGGCGCATTAACACACTGTTCACCGACCAGCTGTCTTCAGAAGTTTATTCTTTTCTTCCTCCTGTCCTGTTCTTTCCTCCTGTTGCCCGGGGTTACCACCTGGCGGGTGTCCGCCGCGCGTCACCCGCTGAGTCCGGAGCGAAGTCCAGTGTGACCGGAAGCCCTGCTGCTCCTCTGCTCTCACTGCTCCCTCTGCTCGCCGTCATGCGCCCCGGTTCTGCTAAGCCTCCAGGCGGCCTTGGTCTCCGGATCCGGCTGCAGGCAGTACTTTGGCTTTTGGTTGTGAGTGCCGCGCCTGCAGCGCTTCACCCGCAGTGTTTGGACTTTAAGCCGCCCTTCCGCCCCAACAGAGACCTGGAGTTCTGCGTCATGTACCGAGAGTTCGGCTGCTGCGACCAGCAGAAGGACCAGGAGCTGATGGCCAGATATTACCAGATCATGGAGAACCTAGACCTGGGGGGCTATGAAAGCTGCGCGGCCTTCGTGATGGAGCTGCTCTGCCAGGTAAAGCGCACGAGCAAAGGTCACCTGCAGCTTTGATCATCTGACCCAAACACCCGCAGTTACGTCATACCTGAGGCTCAGGTCATCCTGCAGCAGAAGCTGATTTCAGATATTCTGAACTAACCAGAATATTTATAAAAAATAAAAAGAACTCAGAGAAAAACTCTGAATCATAAATGAGTCAAATAAAATGGAGGAGCAAAGAGGCTCTCTGCCCTGGGGGTCATCACCATGCGGTCTTCAGACTTTCAACAATTACTAAAGTTAAAGGTTCATATGTTATCATTAAGACCTACCTGCCCTGCAGGTCGCTTTTTTTTCTTAGGAATTCTCCCACAGAAAACCCAGATATTGCATCAGAATACTGCTGACAGGTCCAACAGAACCAGAACCAACGAGCAGCACCATCTGTGGTCGTCCTAATTCATCCCTTAGAAGTGAAGTTTCAGTACTGTGCATTATTAGGGGCAGGATAGAGATTTTTTTTTTTTTTTATATACGAGAATAAAGTCATAACATTATGAGAATAAGTTGGTAGATTTAAGAGAATAAAGTCATAAATAATATGAGAATAAAGTCGTAAAAAAAAAAAAGGCTGTGGTATGATGACTTCTCGTACAATGTAATAATTTTATTCTTGTAATATTATGACTATTCTGATAATGTCGCTGCCTTATCCTCTTAAAAAGTCGTACGGAAATCATATTTTAATGCCAAATCATTCTGGCTTAAACATGTATGGATGAAGGAGGAGACTCATCCACGACCTCCGACACTAAACTCTCCTCCTCTTGCATGTTTCCGCTGTCCATAGCGTTCCTTGACAGTGTCGTTTCTAAGTCACCAAGTTACAGCTACTTGGTCCCAATAGAATTTCCCATTGGGAACCTACTAGCACTAAGTTGCCAACTGGTTAGCTAGATGCTTCAGAGAAACCTGCCACAATCAAACTTGCTTGTGAACCTTCTGCCACAGCAATCCCGCCCCCCTTGATAATCAACCAATCACATTCACTTTATTCACTCGTGTAAAGTCGGGCAACACTCGGAAGAATTCAGAAATGCAACGGTCGGAACTGCCGCTTCCCGACGACTTTAAGAGAATAAAGTCATAAAATTACCAGTATAATAATGTAACATTATGAGAATAAAGTTGTAAAAACGGGTTGTGGTATGATGAATTATTCTCATCATTATTCAACTTTTTTCTCATACAATTTTATTCTTGTAATAAAATTTACTCTGATAATGTTGGGACCTTATTCTAGTAATATTTCAACTGGTTCCACCACAGCAGAGCCTGACAATGAAAGATCTGGTTCTGTTTTTAGACCTTCCAGGAACCACCAGCAAAGCTGCTGTCTGGAGAAAAGTCCTCCGTTAGGAACATCGGGATAGCGGAGATCTTTTCTTCATTTTGCCATTGTTATTCTCTGTCCAATAAATCCTCCATCTTTGATCTCAGGAGTGTTCCCCGTACGCCGCTCACCTGTTTGATGCAGAGGATCCCAGCACCCCACTGCGGACCATCCCGGGCCTCTGCCCAGACTACTGTTCCCAGTTCTGGAATGAGTGCCGCTCTGTCATTCCGTCTCTGTCCAATGATCACCGTCTACATCACGCCAAAGACAACCAGAATCGTCTCTGCAAACTCCTGGAGCTGGACGATGCTGATTATTGCTATCCTCACCTGCTCAGCAATCAGAAACTGACCCAGAACCTGGGCCGGGTTCAGAGGGATTCTGACGGCTGTCTGCAGCTGTGTCTGGAGGAGGTGGCCAATGGCCTGAGAAACCCCCTCGCCATGGTGCACGCCAATGACGGCACACACCGCTTCTTCGTGGCAGAACAGGTGGGGCTGGTGTGGGCGTACCTTCCTGACCGATCCAAGCTGGAGAAGCCGTTCCTGAACATCACCAAGGCGGTGCTGACGTCGTCGTGGGAGGGAGATGAGAGGGGCTTCCTGGGAATAACTTTTCATCCCAAATACAAATACAATGGCAAACTGTACGTGTACTACTCTGTGGAGGTTGGCTTCGACGAGAGAATAAGGATCAGTGAGTTCAGGGTGTCTGCCAACGACATGAATCTGGTGGACCACACGTCAGAGCGGTAGATACCCACGGCCTGCACTTAATGGTGGAAAACATATTATTCCTCTATGAGTAGAGAATTAAACACATATTTGTTTAATTTTTTTTCCTAAGGGTAATTCTGGAGATTGACGAGCCAGCATCCAATCACAACGGAGGGATGCTGCTCTTCGGAGATGACGGCTACCTGTACATCTTCACAGGAGACGGTGGAATGGCTGGAGATCCGTTTGGAACGTTTGGGAACGCCCAGAACAAGTGAGCAGTCAGCACTGTGACGAGGCAACGATAAAGGTCAACTTTATGAAGTGGTTTGGTTGTGTTTTAGGTCGGCCCTCCTGGGTAAAGTTCTTCGCATTGATGTGGACAACAACGAGAGGGGCCCGCTGTACAGAATCCCCCCAGACAACCCATTCATCCTCGAGCATGATGCGCGCCCAGAGGTGTACGCTTACGGTGTCCGGAACATGTGGAGGTGTTCTGTGGACCGGGGAGATCCCCAGACCAAGGAAGGGAAGAGTCGCATCTTCTGCGGAGACGTTGGCCAAAATAAGTATGAGGAAGTTGACATCATCAAGAAAGGTCGGAACTATGGCTGGAGAGCGAAAGAGGGATTCTCCTGCTACGATAAGAAGCTGTGCACCAACAGCTCTCTAAGTAAGGCGTTACTTTACCCTGCTGGCAGACAGACTTATTATAATAATAATAATATTGCGACTTTATTCCTGTAATAATCTTGGCCACTCCCGCTGGGTCTGGTCTCATTGTGTAGGCCTCACCGCTGATGGCTTCCTCTATTCCTTCTCACATTTAGACATTCAGGGTTCTGGGTATGTTGCTTGTAGGGGGTGCACTGGCACCAGCTACATTTGGGGGGGTGGAGTTGGACCGATTTTAATCACTCGAGAACAACGCGCAGGAACACAATATCTAAGCGAGCACAGGGAGGAACAGAGTCCTTCTCACACCTTTGTTCTCTGATTGTTGCCCAGAGTCGGGGGACCTGGATGGGGAGCCGGCTGTTCGATGGTCTTTGTTGGTGTCTGCTGTTGGGAGCAATCAACTAGCTGGGACTGAGGCTGACACCTCTGCCCGGGAATGGGGGGGTGTCCAGGTCATGTTGGCACCATCCCTGGGGGGCCTGTCCTCCTTTGGAGTGCCGCACCTAGACCTGGAAATGTGGGATGTGTGTAATCAAATTTTCTAAATAAATAGAAAACTTGGAATCAAAAAAATAAGAGTGTAATATGATGAGCAGCATGGTAGATAATAAAACAAATAAAAGGAACTAAAATATTTGACACAAATATTGTTCAAACCGAGGGCAGAAGAACTTAATGGTGCTGAACGGTCTAGTTAGAAGCCAGAGCTCTGGTGGACCTTCAGGAGGTTGGAAACGGTCACAGCTTTTAAAGAGCCTCTGGACTTTGGTGCTGAATACATCAATTAACTGACTGTACTCTGTGTGTACTGTGTGTGTACTGTGTGTGTACTCTGTGTTTTTGTACGCTTAGCAGTAACACGGCGGTCTGTTGACAGACGATGTGCTGCCTATCTACGCCTACCCTCATAAGGTGGGGAAGTCTGTAACCGGGGGATACGTGTACCGCGGCTGTGAACATCCAAACCTGAACGGCTTGTACATCTTTGGAGACTTCATGACTGGGTGAGTTTAGGGCGGAGCTTCTGATGCTGTTTCTGATGCTGCATCACACTGATAACACCAAACCAACAATACTGCAGATTTGCTGCATAGATATGAAAGCTCTGAACTTCCAGATCAGACCATTTTTTTGTCACTGCTGCAATTTAAGGAATGGAAATTGAAACCTGTACTAAATGAAATTTTGTCTGGAATGTATTTAATGTTTGTTTTAAATTCTCTGTTGATTTTCCAGGCGTCTAATGAGCCTGAAGGAAGATAAAAACTCTGGACAGTGGAAGTATAATGAAGTCTGCATGGGAGTGGGCCTGACCTGTGCTTTCCCTGGACTCATCAACAGCTACTATCCGTACATCATCTCCTTCGCTGAGGATGAGTCTGGTAAAGGGTCAGCAGCACAGCACCGTTGGGTTTCCTTTTTGGCAGAAATGATTGACCAGCTTTTCTCCTGGCAGGCGAGCTGTACTTCATGTCCACAGAAACGCCGAGCGCCACGTCTCCTTCAGGAGTCGTCTATAAGGTGGTGGATCCATCCAGGTGAGGCTGCTCCACCCTTCTAGCAGTGGTGGCTGGCCAATAGAGGGCGCTAGGGCGCCACCCCACCCACCCAATGACCCTGATTAAGACATAAAAACATTAAAAGGTATATATATATATATATATATATAATTTTAATTTAACATTAATATGTTTATTAATATGTATATTTTTAGATGTACATATTTAGACTCTAATGACGAGTAAGGCGTCATTCAATTTGTCGTCGGATTGGTGACGTATTTCCGCCACAAAAATCTTTGCCTATTGACTCTGGTTAAAAGTTGTTCATGTGCAGCAGCTGCTCTGGATTAGAGAAATATAGCAGAGCTCCAGGCGCTCACCCCCCGCCACAGCGCAGACATTTTGCGGGTGATTGACAGGTTAAATCGCAGGAGTTGGAGACGCATAGGAGAGAGAGAGAGAGAGAGAAATGGTGCAAGAAACATCTTTTTTCAGGACCTGGTTTAGCTCCAAGGCGAGGCTAACTGCCTGCAGCGAGGCTAACTGCCTGCAGCGAGGCTAACTGCCTGCAGCAAGGCTAACTGCCTGCAGCGAGGCTGACTGCATGCAGCGAGGCTAGCTGCATGCAGCTAGGCTAACTGCCTGCAGTGAGGCTAAGTGCCTGCAGCTAGGCTAACTGCATGCAGCTAGGCTAAGTGCCTGCAGCTAGGCTAACTGCATACAGTGAGGCTAACTGCATGCAGCTAGGCTAACTGCCTGCAGCGAGGCTAACTCCATGCAGCTAGGCTAAGTGCCTGCACCTAGCCTCACTGCATACAGTGAGGCTAACTGCATGCAGCTAGGCTAACTGCCTGCAGCATGGCTAACTGCCTGCAGCATGGCTAACTGCATACAGCGAGGCTAACTCCATGCAGCGAGGCTAACTGCCTGCAGCATATTTCAGACATTTCCCACATTAAAATCAGATTATCATCATCATTATTGTTATTGTTTTAATCTGCAGAAGGATTCTGTACGGTCTCCTTTCACTTGAACTAAAACTAATAAACTAAACTCCTTCTTTAGGTGCTGCTGTCAGATCAGGGTCTGTCTTCTAACAGTAGTCCATATATTCCCATCCAGCGAACCTAAGAAGGTTTCATAGTTCAGTGTTGATCCTGGTCAGCAATGTAAATCAGAAAAAAGTTCAATGGTTTCCAAACGTTATCCTTTCATACTGTGGTTATACCGTTCCTAACACTGAGCAGAAAGAGCAGCTGGAGATCCATTCCTGGGAAACATGGCAGCAGACGTGCGTTAATGATGACAAACAAGCTGAGCATCTATCTGGATGTTTCTCAGCTCTGGAAAACGATTGCTCCTCTTGACTCTTATTTCAACTCCAAGTCTGAACCAGGGGTGGATGTAGGAAATTTGGGGCCCTAGGCAAAGACAAGCAGGGGCCCCTCTGAACTGTGAAGACAACACATAAAAAAGACCCATTATAGAGATAG